TTTTGAAAAATTGGATTTTTCATATGTTTTACTATTGATCGACAAATTTCGGCCAATACTTTTTGGTAGTGAGTGTACAATTATGCTCGAGAGTTATTAATAACAAACACTATTTCATAATTAGTCTGTTGATCGGAAAAAATATTCAGCAAAGATAATAATAACACTGATTTCTGAATTCGGGAACTGTCGATCACGCGTAAGTGCCTGTAAATTTGCTTGTTTGGACACCCATAGAATCACCATAATAAGTGTTCTTTCCTCATATGAAATCATGAACAAGACCTTTTACAAATCACTTTGCATTGTTTTAAGTCACATCATGAATAAGAGCTTCCTTATGATGAAGTCGTGAGAGATAATATTCATAGATGCAAATATTCATGTTTGAACACCACTTAACTGGAACAATAACCAATCGCAGAGTGAACTGTATTACGGTCCTTTATTGATACTACAAGCGTATTTGTTATGATCTATTATATTTAGCCATTATTGATAACACTTTTTTTTATCTTATAAGACGTCTGAAATTGATACAAATACGTGCGGTCGTGTTACCGGGAATAATAAAATCCGATATCTTTGAAGATGTTTCTAAGCCATATGCCCCTGCATATTTTCAATCGTTAATTGTACTACTAGTACAATAACAATCCCAGTATAAATATAAGCGAAAAATTTCTCACTCGGAAATTTTCTTCTATCGACAAAGTTTTCTCTCTATTACGTCCATGGATAAACATCAACAAAACATTCGCGTCCAAAGACGTACGAACGAATTGGAGGGAAGAGATATTTCTTACATAAAATGCATTATAAAATCTGGACATCTCGAATTCGAATGGTCCATTATTACGCCATCAAAATGGGACTGGATTGGACTGTATAAGAATAGCCGTAAAGAAAATACAAATTGGCTCAATGGTCATTGGTTTTATATCTCTAGACACAGTCATCGTGAGACTTTACTTGACGGACGATATTCTTTTACTGGCACGCATTGGATTGGAACCGTATCTGGTCAAAATCAAATCAGATTAAATACATACGAATCTTATAACGTGTATAAAACTTATGCGCACGCGAATGTACTCGACCCGGATTTTGCGCATTTTGACAAGTCTCGCGTACATTATGTCAGGAAAGGATTACAACATTTATTTGCTCGTCACAAAACCGATTGGGGATTTAATCAAAATAATAACTGGAATAATCGGAATCGGAAAAAACTTCTAAAACCTTTTCAAGCCTTTGTTAACAAAAACGCAGATAATGTCAATGTTTACCTTGGAATGTATAGAAATCAGAATGCATATCTTGTCGTAGATCACGCGTCATACCAATGTCTTATGATTTATCGTGGAGGGGAGAAGGATTATTTCTTGTGGTCTGGATGGATACTCGGAGAAGATCAATACAGATCTGTTACAAACCCACCCTACAAATTATCAGAAACCGTACTTTTAGTATACGAAGATATACTCGATCAACTAGCCAATTCTGAAGGTGAACGTGAGGATTTAATTAAACAATATTTAGAAATGTTTCTTAGGGACAAGAATCGTTATGGCGAAAAAGTATATGAGAAAATTGCAGATTTGTTTGCTATTGCAGAAAGTTATGTTCCATTGTCAACGGAAGGAAGGGATGAATATACTCCCGAAGACGGATACGAACTTGATTTTAAAAACATTAAGGAAAAGGCGGAAACGACTCTGAGAGAGCTGAGAAAAACTACACTTTAAAGGGGAAAATTTAAAACGAATCATATCGATGATCCGTTAATTTTCATTCCCTGTATTATCCTTTTAATAAAATTTTCCTTCTTATTTTTGTGTGTTAAAAAAAAACGATTATGCAGTTATTTGTCTAAGGAATACTGGGCTATAGCGAAATCTTTAAACAGTGACTACTTTTTGCTGAGCCACAATGCAAGTACCCACATTATTACACTATTAGCAGCATAACATACCGTGCTTGTTATTAACCCGCCTAATTCAAGACGTACCAAACAGAAGAATTCTAATTCTAATGTAAAGGTAAAAGGAAACAACCACCATTGTTTGATATAGAACTCGCCTAGCCTTGCGCAATATTATTAGTACACTCTTCATTACTGTAACTCAGCATCGCCATCTACATCTACAATACTCCATCATATCAATCAATGACGATATCCCCAGTATCGTCTTCATACGTTCCTCCAACAAAGCCTTAGCCTTTCTAAGCCATTTAAGAACTTAAACAAATTCTTGTTGCTGAAAAGGCGCTGCCATCATCGTTGGATCTGCCAACATGTACGTGTTATGTGAAACAATGCATTAGGGTGTGTGAAAGTCAGTACGTAATAATATAGTTTCCGTTTAGATTCAAATATCGAGGCTCCTCCGTCGTTAATACCTCAGAAGAAATATTGTGACATTACGAGATTAGAGGTAAAGCAAGAGAGATGATCTATCATTTACACTATCAGAGGTTGGGGTTCACCCTTTCGCATACAGGACACGAACATACAAATCTGAAGTCAAGGTTGCGAATCTTCCTTACTTCTCCACTAATTATTATGCAGAACCAGTTGGCTGTTGCTAAGGTTACATAGTAATAGTAGACAATCTATAAAAAGCAAAATTAGAGTATAAACGAGGAGAAAGTAAATGCAATCTCACCATGAGTTATTACTGATGCTGAGTTACGGTGAGCTCTGAGCAGTGCAAGGCGCAAGCAATCGTACACACAAAGCGACCTAGCGCTGTTAGCGTATCCATACGACTTATCGTATCAGTCGTAAATTTTTCTGGCTAAAAAAGCTTATTATTATGACGTTTTTGATTCTAGACTATAAAAAAATTCTAACTTCAAATAATATTAATATGGGGTATGCAAAGCAACAAAACCAGAATGTGATGTCACTTTGCATTATTCGCTTCACCAAAAAATACAAAAATTAATTAGAAAAAATCAATAGAAGCCGAAAAGGGCTCTGGATGTAGCCGTGAGGTGGAGAAAGCACCAAATGTCTGGAACCGTGTTAAAGCACAATGTTGCAGTGAGCAAACTTATAAAGTGATTGGAAAATAGTTTGTTACATAAGATAAAAAAATAAGCAGAAAGAATAATTAACAACCAAAGAATTACTATTACAAAAAATAAAATTACGCAAATTTAAAAAGTTAATAATAAATAAGTAAAGCCAAAGAAAACAAAAAGTCCTGACTTTTATAGTTCAATAAACGAGCAAATTATATGAGATCGGGATACAAATTTTTGGAAATAGCTAAGAATAACTCTCCTTTACATTTTCGTTCTTTCTTCTTAATTTTTATTTTTCGCTCTTCTTAACATATTTAGTTTTCTTTTTATCTATATAGATATTGCTGAAGAGTTTGGCTGTCATAGATGTTAACAATTTCTTCACTCTGCTCTTACTTCAAAATACTTCTAATCGTGCTATAATTTAAGTTTATAATTAGATGTTAATATTAATATTGAAGGCTCTGTAACTTCAAGTAAAAGTACACTTATAACTTAATGACAACTAATATTATTGCATAAATATCATGCGGTAAGTTAAATTCTTAGCGATAATTTGATATTTCTCTTACCATTTTTTATAAAGCCTTTGTTTTAATGTTACTGCGTTTATCGTTTACATACTTCCCCAGTCATGACAACACGCTTTTCTTTACGATAGGGAAAAAAAGTATTATTTTATATCTTATTGCTTGTGTAACATTAGTAATACGATATATCGGGTCAAGCAATCAGTGTCTTATTATTACTGTCGGCAATGCAGAGCATTTTTACGCGCGTTTGCAGAGAACCCTTGCATTTTACACGCAAACAATTATCAAACTATAATGTACATATACGTCCTGCAGTACCCGCTATTTCCACGCTAATAAGAAGTCACTCGTCAGTAAAGTCGCCGGCTGAATTTGGTACTGTAAAAGTTGTATGTTTCTTTGGGCAACTTGATCTAATTCAAACGTCGCTTTAAATTAAAGGATTCCGTTGCTTACGTTTCACGATAACCTTGCTTGTCTGTTTTATCGCAATTCTACAGAGAAATGAAGATACAGACTTAAATAAGTCCGGCTCGGCATACTATTTCCCATCAACCAAAACAAGCGTAACTTTGCCACATAATCGGGCTGATGTTTTGTCTAGTACCAGTCCTGCAGCCATGATACTGGCGAATTCGGCTCTGGTAGTGACAAGGCAATTAGAAATGCTAAACGTATTCTTGGTAAGTGAACAACGTCATAATCAATGGCCTAGAGTTAGTTGTAATCACTATACATTATTAATAATGACATCTAATTGTAAAAGGGGTTTGAACAAGCAAATAAATATGCCATTCTTGATCCAAGCGGTCATAATGTTGGATACATAGCAGAGCAACAAACCTCATTCACGTCTTTACTTCTCAGACAAGCATTTAGAACGCATCGCAGCTTTACAGCCGTTGTAATGGATGTAAACGGAAATGTGACCTTGAAGCTGTGGCGACCGTTTGCATGGATAAACTCGCGTTTATTTGTCAGTACGGCGGAAGATGAACCAATAGGAGAGGTTCAACAGCAGTGGCATTTCTGGCGAAGACGCTACAATCTATTTGTCAAGTAAGATATCATATTTAATAGGCTAAGTTGGCTTTGAATATCTTCTAATCTCCATTTGATGAACCCAAACTCTCACATCCCGAAAGACAACGACAATTTGCCAAGATAGATGGCGGCTTTTGGACTTGGAACTTTACGTTAGAAAATGAGCGAGGCGGAGTGTTGGGAAAGGTTGATCGAAACTTTAGAGGATTTGGCCGAGAGATCTTCACAGATACGGGACAATATGTTATTAGGATGGATGCAACTGAAGGACAAGTCAGGGAGATGACACTCGATGAGAGGGCGGTAACATTGGCTGCTGCTGTTTCTATCGACTTTGACTACTTCTCTCGACATTCGTCGCATGGGTGAGTAAATTGAGCATGAGAGGTAGATACCTTTAGTCATTGAATTTTATCTTGGGGTCTTATGCATATATTTACTATCTTTTAGGGCAATATTCCCAATGGAGTTCTTTAGTCAAGAGGATGAACTTCAAGAGGATTCTGCGGAAACTGAAAATCGGCATGAAGATCAAGTCGAGGAACTAGATGAATCTAACGAGACTAATAGCTGGTTTGGGACATGGGATGATGGCGGTGACGATTAACTATTGAATTTTAGTTTCCGTTCTACTAATAGTTTAAATCATAATTCTTATTTGTAACAGTAATAATAACTCGCATTGCTAGACCGTTTTAATATAAATAATGGTTGATAGAGGAATGGCAGTTGTTTTTTTGAGAATGCATTCATTGGTTCCAAACATGAAGGATTGTTAAACTGTGTGTATTATGCGTGCCTCAAAGACTTTTTTTCAGAAATACATGGGGTTTAAGATGTGTGATTTTGTGACGCATAGTAATAAGGCAATCACCTTCACCATATGCGTAAGCAAACGCGACACCTATTATTCTTTACGATTGTAGCCTTTTCCCATCTCCGAATGCGCAAGCACAATGTTTCATCAAGAATTATTCTAAAGCCCACGTTTTGATCACGATTAGCTTGCATGTATAAGTGCGATTATCAGTTTGTCATACATTAATCCCACGTTTCAATCCGTAGTCGCAAGACACGTGAAAGCCACACTTACACTTCAAGAATTAATGCACCAAAACCAACTACTTTAATTGTCAAGCAATTCTAAATGACAACACTCCTGATAGACAACTACGACTCATTCACCTGGAATCTATACCAATATGTCAGTGAGCTAGGTGCAAATGTGGTGGTATTTCGTAATGACCAAGTCACTCTCTCTGACCTCGATGCGCTTTCCCCTCGAAACATCATTATCTCACCTGGACCAGGTCATCCGGCTACTGATTCGGGCATATCCCTAGACGTCATTCCTTACTATGCAGGCAAAATACCGATCCTGGGAGTATGCTTAGGTGAGCAATGCATAGCACACGTCTATGGAGCATCAGTCTCAGGCATCGGAGATATAACGCATGGCAAGACGAGTAAAATTATACATGACGGCAAAGGTTTATTCACAAATGTTCCCCCCGAAATATCTGCTACCAGATATCATTCCCTGTCAGCCGAACCATCTTCCATACCAGATGTATTGGAAGTGACATCTTGGACCGAAAGTGGAATCGTAATGGGTTTAAGACATCGAGAGTTAACTATTGAAGGCGTGCAATTTCATCCAGAGAGTATACTCAGTGAACACGGGAAAACTATTTTAGAAAATTTTTTGAGACTAGAAGGAGGCAGATGGGAAGATAATCCTGCTTATAGTATTGGTGCTCCTCTAGCAAGCACGACCCTGATTACTAGATCAGTGCCCAGCATTCTAGATAAAATATACAGACAGCGGCTACTTGACGTCGCCGCGGCAAAGAAGGAACCCGGAACTAGCACGACTGATCTCAAAAAGCTACTTGCATTACATGTCGCACCTCCATTGATCGACTTTGCGGCTAGAATCAAACAAACTCTTCCCGATTACCCTGCCATTATGGCTGAAGTTAAAAGAGCATCGCCTAGCAAAGGAAACATTAATTTATCGGCGAATGCTGCTCAGCAAGCATTAGAATACACCCGCGCAGGTGCATCTGTTATTTCGGTATTAACCGAAGGAAGATGGTTCAAGGGTAGTTTAAATGACATGCGCCAAGTGAGAGATCTTCTATCGTCCATTCCAAACAGACCAGCAATATTAAGGAAAGACTTCATTGTAGATACTTATCAGATCATGGAGGCTAGATTATATGGAGCTGATACTATTCTTTTGATAGTCTCAATGTTATCGGATGAGCAACTGGTTGAGTTGTACGATTTTGCAAAGAATTTAGGAATGGAACCGTTAGTCGAAGTTCATGACGAAATAGAAATGAAAAGAGCACTTGCTTTGGGTGCTAAAGTGATTGGCGTCAATAACCGCAACCTACATAATTTTGAAGTTGATGTGGGAACTACGTCACGATTGGCTGAATTGGCTCCCAAGGATGTCATTCTAGCCGCGCTAAGCGGTATATCCACACGCGATGATGTATTGCCCTACCTCGATCAAGGTGTGGGTGCATTCTTAATTGGGGAAGCATTGATGAAAGCGAAAGACAAACGATTGTTTATCGAACAAATTCTAGGCATCGCTCCTCCAACACACGACGCACAAAGAGATGACCAACCTGAACAAGAACTACAAAAAACTAGTACTTGGCCCAAGAGTCCGCTAGTGAAAATATGTGGTATAAATACGGTTGAAGCCGCTATTGAAGCGGCGGACGCGGGAGCTGATTTAATCGGACTAATCTTTGCCAAGTCTAGACGGCAAGTAACGATTGATCGTGCATTAGAGATTGTCAACGTGATTCGAGAACTGCAATCGGAAAATTTATTCTCATCAGATAAATTTGAACCTGAAAAGAAATCGAGAACGATTCTGCCAGGAGAAGACGTCTGGTTTAATATCCACGCACAAAGGGTTAACAGAGCGCGAAAACCATTAATCGTTGGTGTATTTCAAAACCAATCCATTGATGAAATCATTACGATTACGGACCACATAAAATTGGATCTTATTCAACTGCATGGAGATGAGCCACTTGACCTTGCTCGGTACCTGCCGGTTCCGGTGATCAAAGCATTTCATATAGATCAATCATTCAAAAATGTCACTCTTGTCACTCAACCCGGTTACAACGCCTACGTGTTACTAGATACCAAGGTGCACGGCTCTGAGTATTCTGGTGGAAGTGGGAAGACGTTCGATTGGAGTTTTGCTAAAAAAGTGCATGATGCAGGAGTGCCGGTTATTTTGGCAGGCGGACTGACACCAGATAATGTGATTGATGCAGCGACAACAGTTAAACCGTGGATTGTTGACACTAGTAGCGGTGTGGAGACTGATGGAGAGAAAGACGGCATTAAAATTGGAGAATTTATAAGAAATGCCAAGAGTGTTGTATATGAAAATGAAGAAGTTAGAGACATATTGAAGGAGATTGATGATCAAGATGCAGAAAATGGGAATAAAGACGAGAAAGAGGAAGAAAATAGTAATAGAGAGAATGGAATTAGTGAGAAGACGGAGAAGAGTGATGACAATGGTCTTCCTTGAAGATATTGACCTTATGGAGACAATTTAGACAAAATCAATTTAAATACATCCCGTTTTCAGGTTAATTGTTACTCGGTATTATGATAAATATACTATTGTTATGAACAAAGCACATATTTTATTCAAAGTAACAAGGCTTTTTAGATTGTTCTTGTTCAAATTTTGCCAAATAACTATTTATACATTAAATGCTTTTATGCAAGAATACGAGGCGTTTCTGCTTCTCTATAAAATATCATGGATGATAAGGACATACGTTCTATTATTATAGTAATTGCCAACCGAATATTTTGCTTGTTCGAAGAGATTAAATACATGAGCATCTTATTGCCTTATAATTAATTGCTGGTTATAAACCTTGGGCACACTGCCAGCCAGAAATTGACCATCGCATTTACTGCTTTCCAAGCATTTAATTAAAAACCTTTCTTCGTAGTTGTATTATTTAGTTGCACTGTCTGTTGTCGTCATGTTGTGATTTAATCATGACTATTCCGCAAGATTTCGACGCCATCAAGTGGCAATTTGTTCATTTGCCATATTGCAGAGTTAACACTAATGTTACACAGATACCAATGACGATATATCGAGTGACAATGACTCGCTGCTTGTCTATCACGCTTCTTTCGAATTTCTTTTTTTTACAAACCCATTAAAGCTTATTTTTATTTCCGATACAACTACTAGCGTACGCTTCTCCATTCTGCTGTGAGTATAATTTCGGTAAATTTAGTTGTTTCAATGACGGGGGTTTCGAATACAATTTGCATGCGAAAAAGAGAGGGATTCTCTTTTACTATAGCCAAGACAATCAGCAGTGATATACCATTTTTTGTATACTCTGTTAAAAGGTACATATAATCCAAATTTTTTCTTATTATTTTAAACAGTTAAAAAGGCTTTACGCCATGTATATTAAATTGACATTCTTCAATAAAATAAGGAATAAATTTTTTGTATTTTTTGCATAAATCTTCGAAGATAACATCTCGTAAGCAGTGGGCACTTTCGTTTGCACACAAGAATAGAACGAAATAAATCGGGCATATTCATTTAGATAAGTTAACAAGGAAAGCGGTTACACGCTTTTAACACACTTTTAAGTAATTTTACATAATATGGTTTATGGAGTGTAAAGTCTGGCATTATAACATAATATCGTGACTGTCATAGTTGTTTCCGTAAACAAAAACAATCGTATTTCACAAATCACAAAAACCCGGAGTTTAAAGTTATGTGAAAAATAGCTGATAAGGGAATAGTCGTTAAAACTATTACTGATAGTCTTCATCATACGGGCAATAATTTGTTTCTCTTTCTTTCTATTTAGTCTTGGTCAATTCAAGACAAGATACAGTGAACCCTCCATAAATGCACGCTACCTCTCATTCCCGAGCTTGGGAATTAAACGTAAATGCACACCCTCCATATTCTGCACTGCACGGTTTTTTCGAATTCCCACCATAGGTAAACCTCCCTCTCTAAATGCACACCCGTGACTTTCATGTGATATAAGTAGTGTTACGCTAAGAAATTACACAAAATTTGTACCCATGATTATAGACGAAGACCATATAAAGAAATTTCTGTACGCAAAGACCAAATAAAGAAATTCTGTGCCCACGATTATAAAATAATCAGTATTAACGAGTCTTCAAAAATTTTCTACAACAGGATAATGCTGAGGAATTGTTCAAACACGTCAAAGCTCTTGATATTGACAAATGCATTAATGTAAAAAAGATGACCGCAATGAAACAGACAACGATGGATCAAAATTTTTAATAATAAATAACCAATGATATTTTATAATTCCTAATTTCACGTGCATCCAATCAAATTCTTACCCTCTCTAAATGCACACCCTCCATAAATGCACGCTTTCCCCCATTCCCGAGGGCGTGCATTTATGGAGGGTTCACTGTACTGAGGTTTTTGAAGGAAGCCAGCTATGCTCATAACAACTATACCAATACACAGTATAACACTTGCGCTATAAGAAAATGTGGTTATTTTTCTTAAATTTTTTTATAAAAAAAGAGAAATACGAAATAAAAAAAGGTTTACATTTGTAAACTTACGATTCTGTCATAGAAACGAAAAGGTAGTATTATTTTCTTATAAAGTGCGTGTTATGGGGTATGCATTGGCATAGTTTTTATGAATGTAGCTTGCTTCCTTCAAATGTAAAATCATTTTTATTTAATATTTTCCAATTTTTTATTAAAAATTTAAAAAAGTAACCACATTTTCTTATAGCGCAAGGTTCCTTCAAAAAACCTTAAGGATTTGAAGTTTGCGTTTTTTCACTATTGAAAGTGATCGGCGATGATCGGCAGAAAAAAACTTCAAATATGGCTATGCATATAACGATAAGAGGTCCCGTGGCTACCGATATCTAAACCCCAATATATATAGGCGGGTCGATCAAACTTAAAAATTTGAAAAATGCAAATTTTCAATAAAAACCGCAAGACTGAGCCAAAACTAGTTCGAAGATGTCGAATTTTTACCATGACTTTATTTCTTGTCCTATTATTTGGATATACAACCATTCTTATAGTCGACGTCGTCAACGATACTCCAATAATAAAGACGGAATTAAAATCAGTAAACAGCATTCCGCTTCCAACAGTAACTATTACGTTTGGCTACAACTTTACCACAAGTTGTGCATTGCTATACAATAGTAAGTAAAAGCACTGAGCAAATAACGTTTAATGCTCGTTATTTGAGTGACAAAGTAAAAGTATTAATCAACTATCGAGAAAAATGTTGTAATACTATATTAATTAATTTTACAAGATGGAACACATTCAGGTTTAGATGGGTGCAACCAGTACATCAAACAACAGCCGCCTACAGTGGTAACTGGCACCAGCATAAAACAAAACAACGTTGCTTTTATGCCTCCGCTCAATCTGCATGTCCAACCGGTAGACAATTTGAGCGGACTACTTGGAGTTGCATTAGTTAATATTGTAATTGACCCCACTTTTGACGCAAATACTACCAGCGATTCTGACTTAGCATTTGGGATGCGTATAGTAGCAAGTGATACAGGTAAGCTTACGGTTTGGAGCAGGCTATTATATTTATTGAAAATTGTTATATCTTATCTCATGGAACTAAGACTTGTTTTTCTGCGTTGTTATAAAAACAAGAATTTTCAAGCGACGAATACAATCAAACCTTTAATGAAATTGATAAAATTGACCCAAATTTAAGTATTTCGTTATATCAACAGTCGGCGTACACTCTTTCTTACCAACAGTTTCATACTCTGTTTTACAATCGGAATGAGAGACATATAATCAAACCAAACGCGCTCGCTACTATCGGCATGCCATCTGGCCTTATTCGTGTACCTTACATCACTACTTCATTAGGTAAGCCGAAAAGTCTTTAGAATAGTTCAACAATGATAACGTATAGACATGTGTTGCTCACTCTATGCTAGAGACCACCGGACCATTGTCTTACCATCCAGATACATTAAATCCTAATTATTACACGGTACTTTTTATAAGGGCTAGCAGTTTTGTTGTCAGAACTGAAGTAGAGCTTAGGTAAGTGGAGAACAACCTATGTAAACTTGGGCAAACAAATAATGGTTATTATTGCTAATACTGTTCACTTGGACATAACAAATCGAGATCGCACACGGTGAGTTTCGGTAATCTATTATTACAAATCTTTTGGCACACACAATATTAATTACTACCATCATCGTGCAGGCGCTTGGCCTAATCGGTTTACTCGGTGGTGCATGGGCTCTTTCTGCAAGTCTATACGCTATTCTCTTTGGTAATGCACTACTACCTTACTTTAATTGTTAGAACCATAATCGACCGAATCAGAAGGTTTATTCGATTTGTATCTTTATTAAGTTACCGTTAATCGAATTTTTCAGGCAATGATCCCCTACGACCATGGGGCTGGGTCCAATTCTACTGTTGCTGTTTTGTTCCACGAACACGTTCGCAGCTTTATCAATCGTTCTCTGTCATTCCATTCCAACAGCGACAACGACAACGAAAATCAAAGACGTCATTATCAAACCAGTCATTTGAGTCAGGAAATTTCGCATCTCAAGAATTGTCAGAAAACTTGAAAAATCAGTTGGATTTGCTGGAACAGTCTACAAAGGAGCGCTTGGATGCATTGGAATTGTTTGTGCAAGAGTATATTGTCGATACAACTTATTTAGATGGATTGAATGAGAATAATTATCCGAATAAATTGAGTACTTTATTCGGATATTATTTTGAGCGACGAAATAAAAATGGAAATAACGAAGTGAAATCGACACATTTACAGTAGTGGCGGAAAATAATGAGAATTTTAAATTTTTTATTTCTCAACCAATTTGTATTTATGTTACATAAAATTTTGTCTGCACATAAGTAATGTTGTAAATTTATAAAAATAAAAATCTAGTGGTCAATTGTTAAACCCCTTTTCAATAACAGTTTCATAGATTTATCGACGCTATCCCATTCTAGTCGGATAATCTGTAAAAATCATCTAATTCAATTAATTTTTTTTAAAAATACGTTGATTTACCCTCTTTTCTACCCTTTTCTTCATTATTGCCCATAAGTTTTCTATAGGGTTTAAGTCGCATGAGTACAAAGGCCAATCGAGAACTTTTGGACTTTTTTTTTCAGAAATTTTTTTCTTAACCTGGCAGTGTGCTTGGGGTCGTTGTCTTGTTGGAATATCCATGATTTCCCAATAGGTTTGAAGCATTAGAGAAAGATTTTTCATTAAAATTTTCCGATAAAGCTCCCCATTCATGTTTTCAGCAAAACAATGAAATCCGACAACTCCCTGTGAACAAAAAGTACCCCAAGCATAAACCTTGAGTGGATGTTTGACAATTACACGCCGCGGCTTTTCTTGTCCCACTTTATATCTTACTAAAGTAGTATTACGAACTAATTGGAAGGTTGTCTCATCAGAAGAGACAACTTTTTTCCAATTTTTATTAAGATGAGACTTTGCCCATTTGACGCGATAATCCTTTGCATTGGCTGTTAACATTGGTACTGAAACTGGTACAGTCGATTGCCGATAATTCGACCACTAGCGGTCGGCGGTCATCGGTCGAATTAACGTAAAAGTCGAATTAACGAATATCCAATCATATGTACTTAATGGTAACACAATTTTATTATTTGAAAACTTAGCATAAGAAACTTGTAATAGATGGTTGCTTAAGCAAAGATAAACGATGCAATTCAATTTGATTGATAACAATCGACGTCCATAATGATAGGGCCTCTTCCAACGTTTGCCATTTTGGCCTTCGGTTTCTTAATTCTTTAGCATAAGGTTTGTTAATATCGATACTTATCCATTTTTCTGATCGAGCTATAATATTCTGAATGGTTGTTCTTCCTGTACAATATTCTATAGCCAGTGCCAAGTTGGATAATTGAGGGTTTTCAGCTTTTCGCTGACATATATCCTGCTTCTGTTCGGCACTTAACGTAACATAAGGCTTTTTTCTCGATCGAGACATTTTTGGATGGAAACAAACATATGACGGAATAAAGAATCAGAATTTTATTATAAATTAGTGCCGGTCGGATAATCGAAATTTTTATCGCAAAATTAATACCGATACAGCCGGTCGAATAATCGGAAAAAGCCAATCAACTAACCCTTAAATGGAAATGATTGACCATGGTCGAATTAACGAACATAATTGTAATATTAATATTATTTATACGTATTGGCTGAATAGAAATTATTTAAGTGGTCGAATTAACGAGTGATCGAAATTTACTAAGTTCGATCGAATTAAAGGAAGAAAAATCATATGAAAAAATCGGGTCTCACTCAAGGCGATCGAATTACCGGAAAGGTCGAATTATGGGGGGTCGAATTATCGGCAATCGACTGTACTATCCTATTTGGGGTAATCTATTGCAAATATCCGCGGATAATCTTGTAACACACTAAGTATATTCGTCCCTTTTTGTGGGGTTAAATTAGGGCATAGTTTAGGAATCGACAGTCGAATTATAAAAACGACCATCATAGCCGTCAGAATGAGATATTGCAAACCGGGTGTTTGGTGAGCAATTTTAAATTAAAGTTCTTCCGGTTGTATAAATTCGGAATTTAGACTGGTGATCCCTTGATTATGACAAGCTAATGATAATGATGGTTTTCGTACTGGCCATCCATCCCTGTAAATCGTGCATGGCACGTGCCGTGGATCCATCGCAAGTTTATGACGATGTTGTAATAAGTGCACTTTATACTAATCCATTTCAGCTTTTTGTAATATATTGTAATAATGCAAAAGGAAATTATTAATAACTACGAGTTCTAACCGTAGTCAACCTTTTTGTAAGTAATTTGACTTTTATCAAAATCAACTACATAATGATCCCCGATAAAACGTGCTAGACGTCAACAAATTTTTGGTCTATTACTGCTGGCGAATAACAATACCAGAATTAACATCTAACACCTGAATAGCGCATAGTAATAGTGGCTCCCGTTAATATTAACCGAAGATGGATGATTAAAAGATTTTGTTATTGATAGTTAAGATTGGTAAATATAGACATACTTAATTAATGTGTGCATCTTATAATGACTATAGGATATTTGTGTCATACTGTGAACGGTTACTTGTTATTCTTAGTATGGAAGTCAAGTCTTACCAATACAGAAATACAATAACAGCAAAGAAGTCTTGTAACGTGATCCTGCGAGCTATGAGAAAAATGGACTTTAAATTATAGTAATAATGTTATGCTCTTCTGTCGTTGTCGTCCGTAACAATCATTAAATTAAAAATAGATTATTATTATTGATGAAGAGGATTATATTTTGATCGACAAGGATTCTGGCAAATTTGAATCCCGCCAATAGTGTTGAAATCTTTCGGTGGCGTTGTTTATAGAACACAATTGTTACATATACAATGACTGGTCTTCTGATCAACCTTTTGTATACATTTTGGGAATATATTTGTGTCCCAAGCGCCCATATCTTGCTTTACCCATCTTTCTCTTTTCTCGCTTGACCATTATGAGTCGATCCATATCACCTTCAGCTGAGGATGCTCCGCTGTTAACAGAATCCCGTACACCCAATGACCCAGAATCTGCACCACCCATTAACCGTGGGCCCCCTCGAAGAACCCGCACTGCACCGGTGCCAGGACGGGATAAGAAATCTCCACAGCTTGTATTGCTGCTAACGATGGTTTCGTTGTTCCTACTGGTGCTGACATGTATTTTTGCTGGCCTATATGCAAGAGGGGTGTCAAACAGACCTGCACCTATACCCAACCCCAGTCCGCAGCCTCTTCCTGACAATCCGCCTAATGATAATGATAACAGCACCATTGATGTATGTAATTCGGCGTGGGAAGAAGTAATATGGCCCAACACTTATAATAAGAAAAGATTCTTGACATCGTTTTGATTATATAACATTAGGCACCGTGCTTGACATCAGACTGCGTACTTACCGCTGCCAAGATCCTATCCGACATTGATACTTCGGTTGATCCGTGCGACGACTTTTTCAAGTATTCTTGTAAGTAACAGTGTATATGTGGCCGACATGATTTTTTTTTCGACACTATTCATATGTATTTAAACATACTAGGTGGTGGATGGATGAAGAAGAATGTTATTCCAGATGACAAGGGCCGATATGGTTATTTTGATAGTTTATATCAGGACAATCAAGTAATAGACTTTTATATTTATATTCTAATACGTTATTGATGCCATTTTACAGAAATTTGTGCCTTTTATATCAAGCATGTTACTTATCTCTAAGATCTCTCTTGTCGATATAGAAACTTTTGAAAGATATTCTTGAAAGTGACTACGAAGAACCAGATGAAGTATCAGCACCTAGCCTTCCTCCTCCAGACAGTGTTATTGACAAACAAAACTTTTACAAACTTCAGTCATTATATAAATCTTGCATGAATGAGTCTGTCATTAGCAAAATTGGTGCAGAGCCGTTAAATCCTATTTTAGCCGAAATAATGAATCGGTTCCCAGTTGCGCCAGAAGATTCGTTGTTGTATCATCTGAGTGGAAAAGATGGAAAGAATATCAAAAACGTCGATAAAAAGAATGTCACAAAATTGAACAGCAAACAACTGACAGACACACTCGCTTACCTTGCCGGGATTGGTGTTTCGCCGTTGCTGACCTTTGCAGTTGAAACTGATTCTAAGAATCCGGAGGCAAATGTGGTAGTCTTGTATCAAAGTGGATTGGGTTTACCATCAAAGGAATACTATCAAGAGAAAGAAATCTTAGACATTTATAAGAAAGTTGTGGCAGAGTTACTTGATAAGACGTTGCGTGGTCAAGATGATTTTACTACAAATGATGAAGATGCAAGTAATCCCGTAGACGTTGTTGGAGCAGCTTTTGAAAAAGGGTTGGAAGAATATTGGTCAAGTTTATGGGCGGATTCGGCAGGAAAAATTGTTGATTTTGAGACCGCTTTGGCAAAAATTTCGTTACCGCCGTAAGTCGTTTTTACAATCAAAATGTTGCGTGAATATATTTATTGTCGATTTTGTTCGCAATTATCAGTAATAGAAATTTGTGATATTTTGACAGTTATATGTATTAATATGGTACATGATCAAATATATTTTTATAGTGAGGTGTTTAACGATCCAGAAGCGATATACAACCCGCAAACATTCTCGCAACTCAACCAACTCAGCACTGCAATTCAGTGGGTAGATTTTATTAAGGCGCTTGCGCCCAAATCGTCCAAACTTCCTTCAAAGGTTATAGTCACATCAATTGAGTACGTAAAGAATCTTGACGAGCTTATAAGGAATACACCAACAGAGGTTCTTCAGGTGTATTTCATTTGGCAGACAATATCAAGTTATGGTGAATACTTGGATGAAAGTTTTAGAGAGCCAATGAGAAGGTTGCAAGCTGCACTAAGGGGTATAGATAGCAGTGTGAAACCCAAAAGATGGGAAGTTTGTTTGAGGGAAGTGGATAGGGCTATGGGTCAGTTAGCAGGGAGATACTTTATCTTGAAAGCCTTTTCTGGTAAGTACGCGAAATTTAATTCTGTGCGTATAGTAATTCAATTAACCGATTGGGTGATTCGAACGTCTGTTAACGTGTTTGTATGATTCATCAGGCGATAGCAAACCAATGGCAGATTCTATTATCGCCGCTATCCAAAATGCATTCAACAACCGCCTTCCTGAACTCGATTGGCTTGATGACGAAACCCGCAAATTAGCCATTGAAAAGGTCGAATATATATACAAAAAAGTTGGCTATCCAACCTCAACACCTGATGCTAGGTCGCCACAATCTTTAGCCGAATATTATGCAAAAATAGCTATAGATGAGCAAAAGTATTTCTCAAACATTCTGAGTGCTGCTAAATGGAAGGTCGATAATGACTGGAAGGAATTAGGGAAACCTGTTGATCGTGGTGTGTGGTTCATGACTCCACAAACAGTCAATGCATATTATGTAAGCGTTTTTATTATTATGCTGATTGCAGGATTGAGTCATCCACTTGTATTAATATCGTTCGATGATTATTTTAGAACCCGACGGCCAACGAAATTGTCTTTCCAGCTGGTAAGATGCATATTGTGTTGAGATATGTTGACATTATTAAGAAGTCGTCACAAACATCAATTTCCGCTTTTTAGGTATTCTCCAACAACCTTTCTTCCATGCTAAAGATCCTGAATACGTGAATTTTGGAGGCATAGGCATGGTTGTTGGCCATGAGCTTACGGTACGATGCTGTATTTAGTACTACGATCTCTACCGATGCGTATTGTTTACTCCTTTTATTAATCCGAAACGTTCTATTTCTGCAGCATGGATTTGACAATGCGGGGAGAATGTTTGATAAGTACGGGAAGTTAACACAGGTAGGGAGGGAAAGTTTGTTATGTAGATGTCAATTAGATAACGATTGTTAATCCATGGTGACGAAAATTTTGTAGTGGTGGTCGAATGCTACGATTGAAGCGTTCGAGAACAAAGCCAAATGCTTCATTGAGCAATATTCAAACTACACGATCGTTGGACCAAATGGTGAACCCACGCATTTGAACGGTAACTTGACACTGGGCGAAAATCTAGCAGATAATGGAGGGTAGGTTGCTGTTGCTGGACTACATTTATGATGGCATAATTCAATATGTTCGACTCTGACATATTAAACGTAATACACATCATCAGGATAAGGGCAGCATATAGTGCTTGGAGTGCCAGATTTGATGAAGATCCAGATCAGAAGAAGTACCGGAATCAGGTGCTTCCCGGCCTGCAGGATTTCTCTAGAGAACAACTTTTCTACATATCCTTTGCACGTTCATGGTGTTCAAAGACACGTCCCGAGACTGCTGTGGAAAGAGTAAGTTAACAGGTTCATTGTTATTGGTTTCTGTATACCTTTGTTAACGCTGTGTCTTATTTCAGGTGAGGACCGATCCTCATTCACCTGCGGAATGGCGCGTGAACGGCGTCCTCCAAAATACGCCTCATTTTTCGGAAGTGTTCCAATGTAAAAAGAATTCAAGAATGAATCCAGAAAAGAAATGCTATCTGTGGTAATATACATAATTGGGTTCATTTATTCGATAGATCTTATTATAGGGAGTAGCGGGTATTTTTAAGTAAATTTTATAAATAAATATTTCCAATGTAAGTTTCCTAATACTTTCCCCATAATTGCGAATTACATGCTTCAAGCAGTTTGCTCTATTTGTAACTTATGTTGAGACATTGCGCTAGTATCTTTCTTAAGCATCTCTCTCAGGGCCATTGTAGCATACTGACTGGTTAGTAAGTTAAAACTGAGCTTTAAAGCCACATATTTCCCGTTCGGGATTGATGTAGGCTCTGGTTTGTCCTCTAATTTGTCAAGGTCTGTTAGAATTAGAGCTATATTGGGATCATTGTAACGAAAAGTAGTCCATGTCAGATCTTGTGGTTTTCCCAGAAATTTTCTGTATGAACCTGGCAGCGAATAGTCTCTGGAGGGATTACAAATTTGCGTTAGGCATAGTCAAGGTTGTCATGCAAGCAAATATTTTAAGAACCGCACTTACCTCACACTCCTTGTCATATTATTCGCGTCCAATTTGTCCTTACCCATAAGTTCGACATACTTTTCACCCAGTGCATTCTCTGGATAAATAATAAGATGACCTGGTAATGGGAGCACCACATCATCAATGGTAAAATTGCAGATGTTTTGTTCATTTACAATGACAACATTTGGCTCCTTATACTGTTCACAAATTTTAAGCAAAAAAATCGTTAAACTGATAGAACCATCACACGAATGCTGACAAAATTAATACCAAGCTACCATAACTACGTCGCCTTCTGTTTCAGTGCTCGCATCATTAACGATGTCATCAGTATCAATGACATCTCCTGTCACTTCGTCATCGACTAGGACGAGATCTCCAACGACTGGTCCGTCACAACCGTAAAGCCTCCTTCGTTCGGAAGCTACGCAATTCCATATGTAAGACTGGTAAGCATGAACGTACATAAGACGAAGATTGCGTGGTATCTATAGAAATGATTACGTTCAAATAATGTCAAATTTTGACACGCTGTTTTAATATGTGTATAATATACATTCATACGTACAGCATTTAAAGCTCCAACATAGTCCCTAAGATCACCGGTTTGGGCGAACTTGTTTAATATCTGTCTTTCGGCAACGCAACGTTTGGGAAACAAAGCATAAGCTTCATTTGCGTCCTGATTTACAATCCAACGCTCTCTAGCTTTTCGCACATCTTCGTGTTCTAAAGTAGAAGTAATAGATGTCGAGTTTAGCATTGAGTAGCAACATGTGGTAAAAAGATTCCCGACAAAACCTAACCTCCATCACGGGGTTTCATAATGAGTTCGACGGCGGCTTTCCAATTGTTTTGTAATAACGCACAGCCTATTCGATGAGTCGGTATGGAACTAGTACCAAACCTTTGCATTCCTGATTCAGGTTAAAATCAGATAAGTATAATCAGCAACTCTTTTAGATTAAATCTGTTATTTGGGGCTTACCAAAGTAATTTATAAATCCGTGATTTTTTAATGATGCAAGTATATCGGAGAGCAAATCTTCAGAACTTATTTGGACGTGCCTGGAAAAATTTTTTTCATAAATTCAAAAGAATTCAGACCTGCGCATTTCCGCCATTGTAACATGTTTACCTTAATATAATGTCAAAGCGATTACCACGCAAATCGCCAAGTTTTAGCGGGGCATCGACGTATCTGACAGCATTCGGAAAAAGAAGGGTAGTTATATGTTATAGATAATAGACACGCGTAAAGGTATGTAATATCCGAATCAACATACTCAAAGTTCCCTAAGGTTATTCCTTTAAACCGCTTGTTAAGTCCAGCTAATCTTTCGGCCGTGATCTTTGAACCCCTCACTCTTTGAGTAGTGACAGCTCTGAGATCCTTTGTTCCAGCATATGACATGAGTTTGGAATTTGCTCTGTATAAGGACAACTGATTAGTGAAACCATCGCCGACATTGGATAGTAAACGTTCATACGTTGAACAATAAATACGCAACTTCATAATTCTGCAAATGGTATTTATAGCCTCTATCGTATCATGGCATTGCTTATAAAGTACAAATTGACAGTACCATTGACTTGGCTTTGGTCCACTATGAAATCTATTCCTTCTGTCTACAATAACAAGAGGTCTTGTCGAAGAATGAACATGTAAAATAATCAATAATGCGTCAATTACCTTTTCTCGATTTTGGCGTGTGCTTGCCTATTTTAATGGCTCCATCTAACGTCTCGCTATATAATTTTTTGCCAAAGTGCTCTCTTATAAACATATGGATAGCAGTGCGTTTGTTCTTGTCATCAATAGACTGCTTCGAATTGATTAGTATCAGCGAATCGTGTATAAAAATTCGGCAAAATCAGTTTCCCACCTCACCTTCGTAACAACGTTGTCTTTTTCACCTCGACTGGAGAACAGCTCTTTGATATTTACGGCCGTCTCTTCATCAGTCAAAGCTTTCAATTGTTCGTAAATAGCGTCTTCGGGAATAGACTATGTGGCAAAAAAAAAATTAGCCTCATTTTACAGAATCATTGAAATAATATAAATTCTTGACTCACAGATTCAGTAGGGCTTGCGCTGGTATTATTCATTGTTGATTGATCATCTCTCTTCGGTATGCTAGTATAATCGGTAAGATAAACTACATCGCCTTGTTGATCTATTTCATGAACAATGAAGTCTGCATATCTTGAGAACGCATTGTTAATAAATACCCAGCGACTTGTAAAAATACTAATCAGATATCCAAGAACTACCTTTGTTTGATCACAGCAGAAAATCCTGGCAACGATTGACTTATGTATTCCGTAATCCCCACATCCTCCTCTATTGTCCACATCTGTTTTCCTCTGCTTTCACTGGCACTTTCCATGACAACAGATGTACTTACACTTTCACCTGAATCCAGGCGGAGTTTCTTGGTGGGTAGATCAGCCTCTGTCATTAGAAAGAAGTAAACTCTGGAATTATCCAAACCAGTATACTGCATAGCATTTTGGATAATTCATTCGTTTAATAATTCGGCAAAAATCAAGCTGAGAGCGACATCAACATTAGCATTTCCGACTTACAGTTTTTTATATTGAAATGGATTGTTTTTTAAAATTTCAAAATTGATATTCTTAAATGTGGGTGTCACAAGATTTGAACCTAAAATTAAATTTTATTCCGTTATTTTCAGATAAATTACATTTATCCATATCAAAATAGAACCATATTTGGCTTGTCTTTTACCCTGTTGACCTATTTGATCCTATCTCTTCCAATCTTCAGGCCAGCGTTTGCATTCAGTATATCAGAATCATTAGTATCTTGTTATCAACGATCGACGATGATGTCTCCATAAAAGTCAACGTCTTCAAATTCTAGTGTTCCCAGTTTTATACAGAGGGCATTACTCGGTCCAAAATGCAGTATAATATTGCGTAATTATTTTGCTGTTAATGACATTGTCAAGTGTAAATATTGACTACGATTAACCGACAAAGTATATTTGCTATTCGATGTAGGATGGTGTCTGACTTCTTCTATCCGAATATGGGTGGAGTGGAGAGTCATCTCTATCAATTGTCACAGAGACTAATTCAACGAGGTCACAAGGTAAATAACAATACATGCAATTCTATATTTGAAAGTTTTGAAATGATTAACATTCAAATCTGTAACGTATCAGGTCATTATTATAACACATTCGTATGGCAACCGAACAGGTGTCCGATATCTTACCAACGGATTAAAAGTATACTATGTACCAATTATGGTTATCTACTCGGAAGCTACCCTTCCAACAATTTATGGATTCTTTCCAATTTTTCGGAATATAGTAATACGTGAGGAGATAAACATCGTACATGGACATCAAGCCTTTTCGTCATTATGTCATGAAGCAATTTTGCATGCAAGGACAATGGGAATGAAGGCTTGCTTTACAGATCATAGTTTATTTGGCTTTGCTGATGCTAGCAGTATTTTAACAAACAAGTTGTTAAAGTGGACACTGAGTGATATAGACCACGTTATTTGTGTGAGTCATACAAGGTATGGAATACTAGAGATACGTGCTTGTTCAGATAATGCATCAGATTCGTATAACAAGTGCCAATTTTCATCAAGTAAAGAAAATACAGTCCTGAGAGCAGCACTAAATCCACAAATGGTGTCAGTTATACCGAATGCTGTAGTTGCATCTCAGTTTAAACCCGACCCGGCGGCACAAGACCAGAATTTTAGTATGTAGTCGTGCATTTTAATTCACTAGTATTTGTACATAAATCTTATTGTTCATTATACTCAAGTATACTCTCTATGTAACGTGTTATATTGCAGTCACAATAGTAGTTGCTAGCCGTTTAGTTTACAGAAAGGGCATGGATCTTTTGGTTGCTGCAATCCCAAGAATCTGTCACGAAAACCCTAAAGTCCGTTTTATCATCGGTAAGTAAACGATCAATTGATTTTTTTTACGTCTTGGTCGATTACTGTTAACAGATTTTATCTTAATAAAGGTGGCGATGGACCAAAAAGGATTGATCTGGAGCAAATGAGAGAAAAATATTTGTTACATGACAGAGTAGAGCTTCTTGGGACTGTTATGCAGCACGAAGTGAGAAATGTAAGCATGTCTTTTGAATATGAGTTTACCCATGTCGGTAATGAAAATAGACCCATGTCTTTATTAACTTGTAATTAGGTATTGACAAAGGGACACATTTTCCTGAACACCAGTTTGACTGAAGCCTTTTGCATTGGCATAGTGGAGGCTGCATGCTGTGGGTCTGTATACATTACAACTGCGACAACGTTATCCACATGTCGTTAATTAAGTACTATCCCTATACGTTAATAGGTTATTAGTAGTAAGTACAAAAGTGGGAGGAGTTCCAGAGGTGTTGCCTAGGCATATGATTATATTTGCAAAGCCTGAAGAAGATGGTTAGTGAAGGATGCATTTGCTTATCATGGAACGGATGCGCTACATTCCCATGTTAATTACGACTAATGCTTTTCACAGATTTAGTAAATGCAGTGGCAAATGCCATTTCGAAGATCAAATTGAAGAAAGTTATCCCTGCAAAATTTCATGATGAAATCAAAGAAATGTATAGTTGGGTAAATGTTGCTGAGAGGACAGAGAAGGTACGCTTATGCTTGTGAATTGGATGTTAAATAAATGCACTATTATCAAAAAAATTTTGTTTTTTTTTTACGATATTGGATTTAGCTAAGCAACAATTGGTGTATTGTCTATAAATAGGTTTATAATACAATATGGAAAATGAAAAATCCTCCGTTAATTGAGAGATTGAGAAGATATTATGGTTGTGGTTTATGGGCCGGGAAACTGTTTTGTATTCTTATGGCGTTGGATTACCTCATATGGATATTTTTGGAATGGGTTGCTCCTCGTGAAAGTATTGAAATTGCCCCAGCATTCTCATATAAGAAATACAGAAAGGTATGTTGTTTCAACAAAAGCCCTTTCATCGTCACGTGATTATCACAAGCAACTCACGGCAATTGCCGTAAATTCTCTAGATGTGTCAAATGGCTGACAAAGATGTTGATGATTCATGATAATCTATAACTGTAACTCTTATTTGAGCCCACCGAATAGATCATTATCAGGGAAAAAAGGCGTTCTTAGCGGAAATAGATTAAGATAGAGATGATATTCTATTACTAAAGCTGTCTGCAACCTGCCTAAATGGTAATAACATAGAAGGATGGTGACTTTTATAATTTGTTAGTCTGCTCGACACCTTTGTCTTGTTGCAGGATATGGGTAATTGTAGAATTTTGATACGATAACTGTGTAACACCTAATAATAAAATGCTTTTCAATAAGATTATCATAAGAGCTCTACGGTGCCAACTGTGAAGACATGCTTTTCCAAAATCAACATCTAAACTTTATATGATATAGCAAGGAAGATGTAAATAATTGGGTTTGTATTTCTCACACTGAAACATCAACGTCGCGTCAGATATTCGAATGCCACGAAATATGTTCACGTGATTCAGTTATTAGTGTTGACCTCGCAGAGATCGTAATATGGTTGTGTAGATGCACGCGCCTCTCAAAATTAGACTGGAAATGCTAATAGGTAAAGACTCGTTTATATGGGTTCGAATAAATCATTTATTAATAACTTGTTTTAATACTGGGGTGAATGGAGTATCCGCTGCGTTGAAAGGCCATGTTCTCTGAATTCTTAATCACGATCCAGGACTTTGTCCAATACAGCAATAGCGATTTCCGCTTCACTATTTTTGAGACTTGTCTCTATCACTCTAGTGAGTTTATGCCGATGACCACACGTCACTTCTGAAATCTTCAGTGCCTTTCTAAGTTTAGTCACTGCTTTCTCCAATTGGTTCGTATACAAGAGTATTTTAGCAACCCTGTAAATTTGTAATGCAGTATCAGGGTGATATTCAGGAAATACAGCATTATATACTCTCTCCAGACATTCTGCATGTTGTAATGCTTCATCCCATTTATGAAGTTTACTGTCGCAGTCAAATAGGGCTCTGTGGGTCATTACTAACTCGTGATTCGCAAAATACAATAATGATTGTTGGATAAGAAACGCCTGATGAAGATAGGTCAAAGCATTTTCAGGTTCTGCAAATAATTCAAGATGACTTTAGCCTGAAAACCGGTTAGATAAAGTGCGTTGATATAACTACCTGATGCAGACAACTCGGATCCTTTTTTAAATAATGACCGCGCTTTCTCCAAGCTATCATCCAATGCCGCCATATCAAACGTTGATACCTTCCCACAATTACAAGAGACGACATACTCTTCGTCCTTGTCAAAAGTACCTAAACATTATCAAATAAGCATTATTGGAATTTACCCAAGATATTCGATAAACATCTTGCATACTAACTAGGCTGATCAACAGGATTAGCGCAACTAGTGTTAGTACACCGTAGAGCGCTTCTTGGATCCACTTCAGAGACGGACTATATAATTTTAGCGATCCGTTAAGGAAAGTATCGAGGGTATCAATTTTCATCTCAAACTTACTTTATACTTCTCACACAGTTCACATCGACACGTAAAAAAATATCTCTCGTGCAATTCTTTTCGACGCTCCTCACCAGTCAAGAATAAGTCTGTATATGAAATTGTGACCTGTAATATATACAAAGATCAGTGTTAGTCTTTAGTTTATACATTATTTTGCCGCATGGTTCGACTGTCACGTACTTCTTCACCTATTTCTATTTTCCTGATTGATCGAACATTCATTTTCAATCCTTCAAAAACCACTATACAGTTTGGCCAGCAAGAATGATTCAACAGGGATACATTGGGATATATCCCAACTCCAATAGATTGCATCTCTGCATCCAGTACACTAAAGCCATTCGACGTCAACTGAATGTGCGTGATTCAGTCATTTGCATATTCCAAAAGTTCAAATTAAGATCCGGTTTAATCAACTCACTCTGCAAAAAAGAGTCAGCATATCTACAGCAGGAAGTAATTCATCTCTTCCAACACATTCTTTGACAACCATAGCCAGTTGGGCAAAGGTTTCCATCTGAGACTGTTGAAATTTAGAGTAATCTATTGGCAGACGGTTTTCCATCATCAATAATGAATATTAGGTCGAATTGACAAGAGAATAGAACATAAAATGTTTAACTGCTTTCCAGGCTCTCAATTTGCTTAAACTGACAATTGAAAGATATCATTAATCGTCTAATAATCAAAAGTATTAAATATATGACACTGGGCTCAACATACCAAAGTCACATCTACTTTTCTTTTCCTCAGGATCCTTGATGCTAAGCGAATGAACGTTGGAGGATTTCTTTGAACCTTTACAATTGCTTTACATTCCTCTTGATGGTTTTGCCAGTCATCAATCTGACATTGCTAGAAAAGTACACGTATATAAAAGCCGCGGGGGAAAGGATTCAACATCAGCCAGTTATTTTCGATCGCTGTATAATCGAATGCATTTGATGATACCTTGGAGCAATAATGAATCAAACTGCATTTAGAGCATTTGAACATTCTTTTGTCGTTCACAAAGCATGAGCTACATGTGTTGGAGATATTTTGATCGTCCACCACCGCTGAGAACGGTAACGCTTGCCAAATACTAGTTCCTATGATATTTGTATGGAACAATATTTTAACATTCGTAGCCGCAATCCGATGCTTAGTAACATAGAAATTACCTCGTTGAATAGTCTCGAGAGCATAAATGCCTCTACCTTTATACTCCGTTTTTTTAATGCAAAACTTCTTTAGAGCTCCTTTAGGTTCATCCAATATTATATCCTCTTGGACTGCCTCGGTTTGTTTTGATTGTGATAATATATCTTCAAACTCTTTTGTTGGCTGGTTTTCCATATTTAGTCTTATAATTGAATCTGCTGGAAAATATAACTGCACTTAAAAAAAAGGACAACTTGGAAGGTTATGATTGATAAGCACTTCGGTAAAAAGAACAGTACTAGAAATCAGAGAGAACGTCTGACCTCATTTTCTATCTCGGTGACAAGTTGATGTGCGATAATCCCCAGTCTGCGCAATTTCTTTGTTTATGATTGGCGAAACACTAGAGAATGAATTGACAGACTACAACTATTGGGTAAACTATATTAGCAAGAGAATACTTCTTAGAATAGTTACGATTGATTTACTTCGATCAGCGGAACAAGGCGATTGATCTTTCTGATCATCATAAAATTGCAATCACAAGTCTTCCTTTCATTTTTAAAAACACGTGGTCAGAGAAGAGACTTGTTCAACTTAAAAGTCTAGTTTTACGGCAATTTTTTATTACGTCTAATTATGTTCTGAAGGTAAACTGTCAATGTCTTTCCGAACCATGATGACCATATATGGATTGCAATGAGCCATGAAATAAAGATGAGAGATATAAAGTACAGAATATATGTGTATCTTACACCATAAAGTAAAGAATAAATAGTCATTAACAGAAGCATGCTACTAGTGACAGTTCGAGACCTATAGTAAACAAGTATGAGGTGATAGTCAGTTAGCGAATGCTCTCAATACGCAAAACGGGTAAAATTGTTTTAATCCAAATTCGCAGTCGAACTCTTTACCTGCCAGATGTCCTCGGTAACATTTTCCCGCTATTCATTATTTCCACATAGAATATTACTGGTGCTATTGCTAAGATGCTATGATCCGATGAAAATGGTGCATACCAATGTACTGCCAAATTCCTACTCCAAACCATTAACGCCGGGACATTAAAAGGAAGCAGAATGAACAAAAATATAAGAACTGATTGAACATAATGATAGTGATCCCAATATTTCTGCAGGTCAGCGCCCTTTCCCTGTAAGAAGAATTGTGTTAGCACAATTATAAAACCAGTAAGCAGACCAGGAAATCGGGTTTAGGCCCGTCAATGGAAATTTCTACTTACAGCTGACCATGCATTCATCAATGATCGTATACATGATACTGTATGTACTACGAATGCTGCTACGAACGCAAGTTGATATGGTATGAACACTGCAACGAGCACAAACACGAACACGGTAGCTATAGTCCTCCGGCGCATTCCAACTATCTTAGTTTCTTGTTGCCTATAACATGATGCAATAACAATCGTTAAAATAGCGAACGCCAATACGTCAAGTGTAGATAATTTATTTCTTTTCTCGACCAACACCAATAAGAATTGATCTTTCACATCTTAAGATGCTTACCTATTTACAACATGAGCCAATGAGAATCCTCTCCAGTTGATAGCAATTGTCGCTCTAGTCAATAATCTGACTAATAACAACAAAAATATCCAACACACAGATGTAACCCCAACGCTCAAGATGAGAAAAAGCGGATGTAGAAACCAAAAAAATGGATCATGATTGCCAAGAAGTGTGTCATTAACATTAAAAGATGCCTTTTCTTTTATAGCCTTATGTACATCTCCGGGTGTAGACTCGACGGGAAATAAGTCTGCTAATGAGTACGTTTTAGATGCCCCGCTTATGGATTGGTATATCGATAAGAGCGACACAAATACGAGTAACTTGGGTAGAGTTCTTTGAACAAACTGTGCAAGTCCTTGTCCAAAGCTCATATACGGCCCTATAAAAAATCACCAAGATTTATGTATTAATGAAGTACTCGAATATTATATCACCATGCACGGTATTAAACGGTTCATAAACTCAATCGTTATGTAGTCCCCCTTGACAATACATACCACCTTTCTGATATTCTTTCAATTGGATTCTCAAAGTCATTGCTACAACCATAAAGGGAAATGCTACCAAAACGGACTGAAATCGCATTACAATTTTTCCTAAACTTCCGTACGCGTCCAGTCTGATGTCTATTGACAAAGGCGCTGAACATATCGGGTCTATCCAAAATTGTAGACTGAGACCTTTCCGCAGTTTCGGGCTGCTGACCGGAAGGACAAATGGAGCCTGCCCATGGATATTGATATCAACATTTTGGGCATTGACCAAAAATTTGGATTCGTGCATCGATGATATTGATTGGCGAATGAATGTAGCAAAGAAGTGGTCGTCTGGAAGACAAGTCGATTAGTGCCTGTAAATGATAAATATTGAACGATATTCCCATCTTACCATCACAGCCAGGACGATTCACAAACATCTTGTATGTCAAAAGACTATTATCAATTATTGGTATGTGCAGAGTAGACATTATGGAATCAGTCATTGGGAGCCCAGAAACATGTATGCCATAAAACAGGAGATCTACATCAAATTATAATTGATAACAATTAAATTTATAACTAGTCTGATAACATTAATGACGACTAATACAAAAGTCACACCAGTTGAAGAAATGATAAAAACCATGAAATTCGATTTACATCAGAAAATTACACACCTTTCATCGACGTGTCAATCTGTGTGATGGTCTTGCTTTCATCAATAAATTCGGCTAATAGAAAGCCATCAAGTCCCACACCTTCTTTATTCATTATAGCAACGTACTGATAGTCACCCAACTCTTGTACGTTCAATTTCAGAAAACTGAAAGTGCGTGTAGATGAAGGAACCCTATCATACTTTGTTGACGCAGGCATTAAGGATGCTTTATGAGATGCATTGTAACACGACAACCTTGGCGCGCTAAGGAACGTTGGCTTTTCCACTGTCGCATCGTGCACGTCACGTAACTTATTGGGTCTGACTCCACATAACAAGACTAACAACCGTGAAGATTTCCCGAGATGATGATCGGTGAGGAGAGAGAATGTCGTCAAATTAGATAGAGGAGCTGGCGGTGGAATTGGCATAAGATATACTTTGTTTGAGATGTGCGATGTCTTGAGTACTAATCTCTGCTCCATATGAAGATAGACATGGGGTTTCTCTTCTAGATCCAACACTCCGAAAGACTCTATAAAATAAGTCACGAGGCAGGAAATAGTAAAATTATAAATAAAAACGCCAAGATGGTCGGCATTAAGCTCATGACTATGTGAAAAAGCTTCTCATTCTCATACATAATTCGATATATGCAGCAATCAATGTAATGCTAGATGCTTACCCCATCGATCCCGTTCCGTCTCCAACTGATCTTCGAGACCAGTCAGAAGTGCCTTGCGAAATATTTTCATGCGCTCAGCTCTTGGCTTTGTCTGACCAGCGCGCCTTACGTCGACTATATTCAACATTGTCTTTGCAATCACGTTAACTAACTGCTTGCACCATAAAATACACTGATGATCCATTGACGTCCACACATTCGGTATTGATGTGGTGAATACAGTGAATCCATGTGATGCCGGTACGAGTGAGTTAATATTAGCCGTATCTGAGCAGATAATAGTATCTAAATTGCCACCGGCTATGGAAATAAGCGTGACATCCGACAATGGAGCCGAGGATGCTTTGCCATTGGAATAGCTTTTCCGCCAGTATTTGTTAATATTAGTATAAATATTGCTTATTTGCCAATCAAGCGGCGCAGGTGGAAGTAGGTGGGGAGTTGCCATAGTGATAATTGTGTTTATTGAACCGGGTTCATAATTAGGCATAGTAAATAATGTCCGGGCAACTATTCCACCCATTGAATGAGCAATAATAATTACGGAAGATGGTTCCGGATGATCTCCGCGTGCAGCTGGATATAGCGAAAGTATGTATCGAATAGCATCATTAAGATACTCTGCCTGTTCAAGCAATGAGTTTCCATGAAGCGCAGAAAATTCCTCATTAAAATCAACTAGACACATTCGATACAAAAAAAAAAAAGAGTTATTTAATTGCAAATTAACACTATTACAAAAACAGAATAGGCATGACGCTCTCACCGCTTCTTACTAATTTCCAGTACCTGTGAAAAAATCTAATCCTCTCACACTATCGTCCCATTCGGATCGTCCGTCATAGTACAAGTTGGCTGAAGCAGATGCAATTGATCTCACTTGTTTGTAGCTTCCAGCATTTCCGGGGATAAACAGGGTAGGTATTCCGGTTGGTCTATCGCTGCTGTCTCTTCCAACTTCTCTATACAAATATAATCCATATTTTTCAGCAAATATAGTCTGTTCACTATCAAATCCCACCATCTTAATATACTTGGGATTCATGTATGTAACTTCGCAGCCCTTTGTATCTCTTTGATAATTTATGAATGAATCAAAGATGAGTCCAGACATAATCATAGTAATTAATAGTATTAAGATTATTGAGAATGACAGGGATATTGATGCAGATGTGTTGAGTAGTGAGGATAAATGCGAGGGCGATTTATTTCCATGTGACTCGGAAAATGAATTAGAATCGGGGGTAGAGCTTGAGTTCGATTGTGGGTTAATTGACTCGAAATTGGTAGATAATAAAGGTGCCTGTTCATTGGAAATCGGCGATGTAGGTGACGGTGTGCGCTCTCTAGTCTGTTGTCCATTTGAGCCGTCGATGCCTGACGCAAAGAAATCAAATGTTCTCGAATTGTCATAGCATTGCGGTGTGATTTGAAGTGTTTCGCATTGTTCTGATTCATGTACCATTTACTGAAATATGTGAAGGAGTTAATGGGCGAATGAATAAGGGGATGAATGGGATGATTGAATGAGAGTGAAACAGATCTAAAATTATCTCTTGTAGTTCAATTGACGTATTATTTGGTATGGTTAACGATTATTTGTATTGACTGTTCTAATTATCTCTGAATCGACGCGAACCAGTTGTTCCGTTGTCAACGTCAACCGTTGTTGAATTATTCTCTCTTCAGTCTTTCATCTCGACTAACCTTGTAATTTCTATGTACCTTCGGTATATACCTCTTATATGTCTTCCAGGTTACGAACAGCGTTTTGAAGAGCGAGCAGACTGAGAGAGCGAAAGCACTCTGTTTAAGTATGGCAGAAAGCTATGTTGGAAATAAATGCAACAACCTGGATTGGTCACACATTAGTACTAAACATTAGGATCACAAAAACCGAAATCAGCGACAGAAAAAATAATTGTAGGTATGACATGCCTTTTCAGCAGGTGATTATTGTGTCTTATCACACGGGAATGCGGAGAAACCGAAGCACCGGACTTCATATTCCGAATGTTGATATTAATATACGAAGCCTAGAAAATGTTACGGGCGATACGGTCCGGTTTACGATGTTTCAGTTTCGTTTACCCGTCATTTAATGACTAATATAAGCTTAATAAAAGTAATGACTTTTTTTTTTCTCTTTCTCTTGGCATTTTCTTTTTTGATGAAAACAATGAATCGACGTTAAAGCGATAAGAGATTACATTTAACTCGTTGCTAACTTTTTTTGTGGTATTATCATTAATTAATTGCCAGGTCGACTTTACACTGAACGTTAACTATTACAATTCGCTTACATCACATCATTGTATTTCTAGAGTGATAACTCGCATTCCTTAGCACCCATAGTGTTATAACGTTATTATGACTATGATGGTGCTAACCTATTATCGTTATTATGGCGAACATGACAATTGGCCATAATAATGATACTCAAAATAGTAATTCTATCAATTCAATGATCGACAAACCCACATGCTTGCCGATTATCTCGAAGCGTTCACACAATTATCGCAGCCAATATTGTCTACTCCACATGATACTGGAAACTTATTCGTTACACAATGACGCACATTTCAACGCTGCGAGCTAAAGAAAAACCTGAGCGATACTAACCACCGAACGACATTTAACGGACGAAATGGCTCTAAACGCTTGGAAATATTCGTATCGTACCACGGCACAAGTAACCCAAATAGTTCTTGTTTGGTCCGTCTTGTGATTTCAAATTCTTCTTGCCTTTATTCGGTAATTTGATTTTGTCATATGGGCATGCTGCAACACAACCAAAGTGAAGATTTGATTATGCGATGCTGACTATGTGGCTGTAAACTTGAAGTTATGGACTTGTTAATTTTGATGTTCACTTTATTATACCAGAATGTGTTCATAACAGGATTATCTCTATATAAAATATATCAATGTGAAACTAATTTTCTTTAACTTCAATTGAGCAACTAGACCATTCTGTTGCCCTTTCAATAATTTGTTTTCCTCTTCTGACTACTTAAATTTTTCTTTTAAACTCTTTATCTTATCCAATAAACTCTTGCTTCTGTTTTTTACCTCACTCTTTTGACTTTTCTAATTTGCTACTTCTTCTTTTTCAATATTCAAATTTTTTTAGCAGTTGATAACTCTTTTTCTAGTCTCTAGTTTTATTTTCTAAACGAGTGCTGAAAAGCGTGTATAAGTAACTCTTTATCAGAAAGTGGTTTAGTTTTTAAACGGCTACAAAAGCATATATTTCTGTTCCTTTTTAACCTATCACATCATGGAAGAATATTGTTATTATAATCTTTTTTACAATCATTACAAATAAAAACTATGTCAGAATAAAACCATCAATAGTATTACAAGCTACCATTCAAATTAAGGAGAGTTGGATGGGCATAATCTAGAAAACAGAAATAAGCCCTGTTCATTTCTGTTCCGTTCCGATAAACGGCAAATCTGTATTAGCCAATCAAAATCAGTGATAATGAAGACAAATTTCGTGTTTCTCCATTCCGCGTATTATTCCGTTTATTCCAAGACTTCAAGTGTTATACTTTGCAAAAAAAAAAACAAAACATATTTCCGAAAGCCATTAGAACCTTTTCTCGCAACACAACCTTTTACTTCTTCATACTTTTTAATAAAAGTGGGGATGGGAACTAACGGACATTGCAAATTTTTGGTTTCCATCCGTTTCGATCATGTGATCCAACACTTCATATTCTAATTTCATATTAGTTTACTTATTTTTTGAACAATAAGAGTTTGAAACTTATCAGTTAATTGTTTTTAGAATTTAATTTCATTCAATAATTGCTTGTTTCTTGTTTCTCTCTTGAAGTTCATTTATAATGTTTACCATAAGCATTTTTTTTATAAAAAGTTTTTACATCATTTTATATCAACTTTCTTCAACTTTGCTTTTAAAACCCATATAAATAATAAGAACAAATTCCTAATAATGGGTAAAAAACTTAACTAATTAGATTAGTGCTTGAAGCTTTATCAAATAAAAGTAAAGTAAAATATTTTTATATTAATTTATTTATTATACTGTTTAGGACAAGTAGTATCTTTGAATTCGTTTCTAATAAATGGGCAAATATTATAATAAAGATATTCTTGTCGTTAATAATCCAAAAAAAGGGGGAGTTAAAACTGGAATGGAAAAGGATTTGATTTTTTTGATAATTTTTAGAAACACTTTGCTTTTTTAGTTTTCAACAAATTAAATTCAATATAAGCGCCATCAGCAACCAGCTGAGCTTTGGCAATACCAGGATGAGCTGCTTCAAAGAAAAGTAATAATATTTTTGTAAACCACCCAATTTCTTAAAGCAAATCCCCAATACTGAATTGAGATCTAAATATTAAAAGCCTTTTCCATCTGGGCCTTGTTTAATCCCGCTAAACTTGATTTTTCGCAATCTCAACAATATAATTCACACAATCTACTGTCGTCTTTTTGGCATTATTTTTTAATCAGTTCGAACTACCATCACACTTGAATTTAGTAAGTCCTGGTACCATGAAAATTTAATTCGATACTTTCATAATAATCGTAAATTATCAAGTAAAGATAAATCAAATGGTAGCATTATTTTTATTTTGACCACCCGCATTGTCACAAGTAATTTTTATTCAGTTTCTTTGTTCCATCAAATACCATGCTTAGGGTGCCATAATTTGCGGAACGCATCAATTTCAATGTGCGATCGTTTTCGAGACTCGCAAAAAATTACGATAAACTGATTTATAACTTGTTTCAGCTGGCAAAGGCGCAAGCGATTGAGTAATGTGATTGACATTTCTACCCGGACTTGGTAATCCAGCATTGTTTTCGAGAAATTTTTCACGGCTGTGGGGAGCAACGGTTATGTCAATGGTTATTTTGGTTTTCCATCGCGGCATTCGTTTTATGTTACCATAAATGCGCGGTATTATACCATTTATCGCCAAGTGATTTTCAAATAAGTGCGACCAATTCCCAACATATTGAGACATGTTTTCTGACAGAGAAGCGTATGACAATCTCAATAATAAAAATTCCCTTATTAGTACGCGTTTTTTTTTTAAGACGTCGACTGGCAGTTATTTCTCCACCGTTCATTGCTTTCATTAAAAATAAATCTTGTTCAGATTTAGAGAGAGCTTGAAATGCCTCACGCAACTCGGCAAACTTTTCTCTCGGAATTTTTTTGAGCACCTACAATTGTAATCTATCTCCAGAAAAGTATTAGTATTGCTTTTTCGTATTCAATAGAGCCATTGTATTCACTATTTGTCATATACAGATAATCCTATATGGGGCATGCTGCAACAAAACCAAACAAAGTGAACATTTGACTATGTGACATAAATGAGAGGCTGATTATGAT